ATAAAGTTGAAAATTTAGGAATTTTCTTCAAAGTATATACCGACCTTATAAATGCCAACATTTTCTTGTGATATATCGATGTGCAGAATTGTTTTTTCACTGCACATTATTAAAACTCATATAAACCTGAAACCTGAAATAAGTCTATAACTTGAGGAATTGTTTATAAACGCTGAAACAGCAATTTGCAATGGGCGACATAACAAAGTCAAAAGATTTACTGAACATTTCTTCTTCTTATCGGTTGAAAATGATTAGTGAACGCTATTTCCGGGTAGACTTGCTCCACTGCTTGGCTAATTGAAAATGATTAGTGAACGCTATTTCCGGGTAGACTTGCTCCACTGCTTGGCTAATTAGAAGTTTTAGCCAGGAAATCATATTAGCGATAGAAGTACGGGTGGGTCAGCACTACTCGGATTTTTCAATGATATTCGTTTAGAGAGCAGAAGAAAAACCACTCATTCTCAATACAATACAATAACTGAAATAATTAGCCACTCGATTATGCTCTCTCCAACCTTGAAACATCAGGAAGTAAAGGAACAAGAGGAAGTAAAATTTTGTATTACTGGAAGACTTTTTAAAAATAATATTTATTACGATATGAAAGTAAAATTTGGTGAATGAAGGGATGGTGTACATTATGAAACGCAAATAATCGTCAAAGCTGTTATGTCGTTCAAAAATAATTTTTTTATGCGCCGAATTAATTTCCCATTTCATGTTCACAATTCGGATTAATAAGGAAAAAAACACCTATTTCCATTTTCTTTTTATTTTATCAAAATTCAAAATGACTGGCCAATTCATTTTGATTCATATAATTTGATATTATCACTTTATCATTTGTTATTATCACTTTAAAGATACAATGATAAATTTCTTTAAATATTCATATCAGTCGATTTTTTAAATGTACGAGAGAAATCACTGCAGATCACTGAAGATATGTTACCTTTGTATTAGCAAAAAAATACGCTTACCACGGTGATTGAATGGTATTTCACTTAAACTACGGTCGATCAACTTGTCATTGAAAATGTAACGCTATAAACGCATGTGTATTTTTCTTCTCAATTATTGACTCTCTGGTGGATTCATTCTTCAGTGCAGCAAGTCAGAACTGAAGTAGTAACTGAAGTATTAGAAGAAGTAATTAGCGCTATTAGAAGAAAAGTTATAAAACAATTTTCGGTTCCCTGTTGACTTTAAAGAACAATAGTAAGACAAAGAATAAGGTGAATAAGACCAAAATTTTTCAAAGTGAATCCAGCAATTAAAAAATTCAGTTTCTCCCAAATCTTATGTTAGGCCTTCTATGATTCTAAAATAAATGCTCATTTGCCGATCTGTCTAAATATTAGCTTAATAATACCTATGAGACAATTAAATAAGCATAGTTTTTTCTTATTAATATTGGACATTCTGACCATTTGCAAGAAATTCACTAAAATTTGTCGCAGGAAATCATTTTCTGGAACGAATGAAATCCACACGAAGATGAACACACAGAGAATGAGACAGAGAGTAAAGAGAGTAAAATGAGTCGACAGTCCATTTAAACAGTTGCTGCGATCTACGGAAGAAGCAAACTTTTATATGGAATTAAATACAAATTTTTGTATGAACAATATAATTGATTGATACGATTATTATAGAAATTGCGAAAACACCAGATCTATAGAGAAATATGAACGAAAAAAAGCCAACATTGTAAGCCTTGATTGTCAAAAAAAGAAAGCCAAATTATAAAATTTGTCCATGCAATATAAGAAAATAAATGCACAGGAATGCGCTATCATGAGAAGGCTTTATCTCCAACAGACCTACGAATTTCGAAAAATCTGCTCGGATTATGTATAGACATCTGTACTTATGTACAGACATCTGTACCTCTGAAGGCTTTATCTGTACTTTGGCTGGCTTTATTAGCAGTTAGGTAAAGCACCTCACAGAGAAGTGCAGAAGTGCAGTTGGGTCACCAACAGTACTCCTGTCAACTGGAAGGAATCGAAGGGACTAATCTCAGTCGAAGTGGCATAGGTGACATTGACATTTGGCTCTTCTTCATTATTATAATTATTATTATTACATCACAGCAATTGTCTTTTATTTATTTCTTTGACTGAATGCGATATAAAAATATGAATATTGCTTAATTGTTTGGTGTTTCATTAAGAAATTTGCAAAGTGCGCCAGGAAATTTAATTGCCATTGTCTTAACAGAATAAAAAGAAAATAATGAAAGCGAAAATCGAGAAAAAAATGCGAAAATATTCACAACCAATCGAAATAAAACTTTTATCAGCGGTTTAAAAAAAATAAAAAATATTTTAAAAAGGAACGATTTTCAACTACAATTAAGGATATTGGGGATAAAAAATCGCCAAATTTGGGCCTTTTTCATATTTTCCGGTTTCAGCAAAATTATTTCAGTAAAACTGTTGTACTATTATCATTATTATTATTATACCGCTACATTATTATTCTTCTTTATACTATTTATACGTGATAAAAGGGCATTGCAAAGTGTTGAGTGAGGGAAGAACTGAAGACACAAGCCGATTAATTGGCTTAGGCCACGCAAAAAAATGCTAATGCCATTAAATAATTTCAGATCCAATAGATTTGGAAGTATTTTATAACTACTAAAGCTAAAAAAATGGAAATGGAAATGCTATTTTTTAGGGAAATTTTCCTATTTTTTTCCAACATTGTTGAAAATAGAAGAATAACACATCAACAATATTATAATGACAAACAACACTAAAAATTTAAAAAATCAAAAATTTCAACAATCAATAGCCTTTATTAATACAGAATTTAAGCCACACTTCTGTTCTGTGTGTGCTTGAATTGATAATTTAAGAATCAGTAAACTAAATGGTAATGGTAAACTTACCAATTCCGGTTAAGCTCGTTATGCTGGTTGTTCCAACTGTCAGAAATTTACTAGAAGAATAAGCGAATCGATCAAGCCTCCCAACCTCACAGACTGTTTGACGACAGGTTTACTCCTATCATAAGATGACCGGGACTCTTGCTCATCAATACGATAGTATGAACCACTGCCCACTCGCCTATTTTATTCTCCTAACAATTATTGGAGCAACAGCCATCCATATGGAAATTTACCTCAAAAGCACATCTATTGAGAAAAAAAAATGGCCTAAATTGTTAGAGGAATTTATCAATTTGAAATATATAACGACAAAACAATCTCAATCTTATCAGTTTATAATTCGTATTCAACACAGCAATTAAATGATAAATTTTTTCTTGGTAAAGCAAAGATAATATAGAATAAAGAATTAGCAATGAAAATAATAACAATGAAGATGAAAATATAAAAATCTATAGAAAAAGTCTATTTGTTTAAAGTAGAAAAATGTTTAAAGTAGAATTATGTAATTAACGGAAACCAAAATAGGCTTTGGTATAAATCATGTATGGAAAATGCCTCGCCCTTGCAGCCAGCGGAGCAGACTCAACCAGCGGGCTCAGCGGTACTGAAAAGAAACAATTGTACGATTTGCAACATGTTATTAAACAATTACAGGAATAAAATCCACAGCTGAAGCGACGAAATAAATCGAAAAAAATATCATGATAAAAGATGCGAAAAAATTCCCGTGAATTTGTTACTGATGCGAGATGATCAGCAGTGGAAGCAAGTGAAGCACTGATATGAATATAAAAACGAGGAGGATTTACTGCACTGCTGTCCTCCATTGTCAGATCATTGAGCAATTTCCAGCCTTTTCTGCTTTAACTGGTTTCGCTAATTTCCAATAGGAAATCCCTTCGCCAAAATCAACTGAGCCTGCAACATTACATTACCAAAACTTTTGTGTCTCTCTGCAATCTGAAAAATACTCTAAAAACCGTTAATACGAAATACTAACAAAAATGAATTGCAAAAGCTCGGAAATTAATCGTAAACTGTTGTTGAAAAAAGCGATAAATTATGGGATTTATTGAAACTCGTATAGAGCGGTAAGAAAATAAATGAAAATGAACGGCGATTTCTCTCGGATTCAAACTGCACATTAGAAAAAAAACGCGTCGACAAGCTTTCCTGCAAATAAATATGTTTCATCCATTTAATCAACCATTTTCATTTGCAAAAATTTATATAATTATAATTATAACGTTGGAAAAAAAATATTAGAAAATCTGAGGAATGAAAATTTGATTTCAGCTGATAAATAATTCAAAAGAAGGTGAATGGAAATCACCATTTCGTTAGATCCGTTGAAAACCCTTACTGGGGAGTCACTTGGCGAGAAGGACGAGTGGGTTGCCAGCACCACCCAAATTTCAGCTATGCACTTCTGGCCCAACAATTCTAGGTGCGCTGCTGGTCCCATCACCAATTCCAGTTGACGACTTTTCTCTCATACGGCCATGTCAACTAAAATAATACTTTATTTCCCGTTCAGTCCATACAATTATATTCCTAATGATTACTGTAGAACATATCGACACTAAAGCTATGTATGCTCATCCTTCAGCGACTCAAATTCCTAAAGGCTTCATTGCTGACCAAGAATTACCCATTATCCATAGCAAACTCCTCTGCCAATGTTTTAAATAAACCAGTAATATTAAATAACTGCTGAGTGGTTCTGCGAGCCGAGCCATAAGACTCCACTGGTGTCGGACGGTTCGTCGTGCCTCGCTGGTCTTTCACTCATTCCTTATTCAGCTATCAACTTATTTGAATGGTACTTTGAGGTAAATCATTCTTCTATCGCTTGCTATCCAATATTCCACCAAAATATAAGAATTGACGGATATAATCGTATAAATAACGTTATTTCTGCAAAGGCACTAGCAAAAAGCACCAAAAATGCTCATTTCGATGCGAATGCATTTCCACTTCGACTGAATTTTGCCTTGGTGGTTGATCTGGTTCACTGAACCTTGTTGGAGAGAAGAGTTCACAGTTCCCTCAGCTCACCATAATCAAAATCAATGACAGAAAACATACGAAAATGAAAAATCGCAAGGCGGACGGAACTCCGCGAACAGACGCCCATACTCACACCGTTTATCGAAGCCGAAGCCGATTTTTCGTAATTTGGAGAATTCGTCGAATTTATTCATTGGTATGTCTCCTGATGATCGATTATCACTTCAAGGAGGAACTCATTAAAACCCGTGAAAGGGTCGAAGATCTATTTTCTTTCGAGGGGTCGAAGGTTGGTTTTGTCAATCTTATTTATTTGTTTTTAATGCAGCTTTATTTATTAACTGAGTTTATTTATTTTCAATCAATGTTTTTTAAAGAAATTATTTTCATCTCATTTATTTTAGAAAGTGAATTTTCCCTTTTTTTTGTTTTGCTGACCAAGAATCACCCATTATCCATAGCAAACTCCTCTGCCAATGTTTTAAATAAACCAGTAATATTAAATAACTGCTGAGTGGTTCTGCGAGCCGAGCCATAAGACTCCACTGGTGTCGGACGGTTCGTCGTGCCTCGCTGGTCTTTCACTCATTCCTTATTCCTTATGGTTTGAAAAATTTGAAATTTGAAAATTTGGATAATTTGAAAAATTAATCGATATTCAAATTATTTTTCCTGTTTTTTTCTATTTCCTTGTAATTTTTCATCAAAAAACTTTTATTTTTGCCTTCAATTCGCTTTTTATTTTGAACTGATTTCGTTATAAATTAATTTTTTCTCGAATAATCAAAATTTCAATTTCAAAAAAGTAAATAAAATCTAAATTATTTCCTATTTATAAATTTATTTTTAATTCCTTTTGTTTTAATTTTTCTAAATTTCTTTTCAATTTTTAAATTATTTTTTCCATTCTTTTAATAATTAATTTTTAATTTATCTTTTAAGTTATTTTTGACTTATCTTTTAATTCTTATATTTATATCATTTTCTATAATAAATTTCCAGCATATTTTTTTATTTTATAAAAATATTTGGTGAAAAATATTTGCTGATCCACAACGCCGACAAAAAAAAAACTTGCGTAACTCTTCATTTTTCCTTTCCCTTTATTTCTTCATCTTTGGATTTAATTTCATGGCAATTTCCATACCATTAATTTTCTCTCCAAACAAAGGGAATGAGACGATTATCATGTATATCGTTATATGTGATCGTACGATATACGATATTTATTGCCAACAGCTATGTGAAAATCCGACGATTATGTGGATTAGGTAAACTTCGCGACTCATTGAAAGATATGCTTTTGATACTTTAGGTTGGTCGCGGAACATATGGTCATGTATATAAAGCACAACCTCGACATCCAGAACAATTGCCTAAAAATGGTGCTAAGGAATTTGCGCTAAAGCTTATTGAGGGGCAAGGTTTTTCGATGTCAGCTTGTAGAGAAATCGCTTTACTTCGTGAACTAAGGTTTCACATCTTTTTGCAAAACTTATTATTTATTCAACTTTATTCATTTTAAAATTGTTTTCGTCATTTCTGTGAAATAATTCTTGTCAAAATTTTCTAATTTCTTAATTTTTTTTAAAATTATTTAAATTAAATAATTTTATTTTTTTCCGAAAAAAGTAATTTTCAGTTTTTTTTTAGGCATCCAAATTTAATAAAATTACAAAGGGTATTTTTGACGAATGAAAGGAAAGTTTGGCTTTTACTTGATTATGCTGAACATGATTTATGGCACATAATTAAATTTCATCGAGCAGCCAAACAAAAAAAGCAACCTGTACTTGTTCCAAAAGTAAAAATTGCTTCCTTACAGTGTATTTCATTTCCTTACAGTGTATTTCATTTGGTTTTTCTATAAATATTCAATTTAGGGAATGGTAAAAAGTCTGTTGTATCAAATTCTTGACGGAATTCATTATTTACATTCAAATTGGATACTTCATCGAGATCTGAAACCAGCAAACATATTGGTGATGGGTGAGGGCCCAGGTGTTGAAAGAGGAAGGTACATTTCAAAGTTTTTTTTGATCAATCAACTGGTGATTTTTTCCATTTATTTCATGTGAAGGATATTATTATAGAGTTAAAATAGCAGATATGGGTTTTGCACGAATATTTCATAGTCCTTTGAAACCTTTAGCGGAATTGGATCCTGTTGTTGTAACGTTCTGGTATCGTGCACCTGAATTGCTTTTAGGTGCCAGGCACTATACAAAGGTTTTTTTTCTTTACTTTTATTAATTATTTTTAATAAGAAAAAGTAGGTTATTTCCATCAAATTTCATTAGCGTACTGTATTTCTAGTGGGTTTGCTAATTTAGGCTATCGATATTTGGGCTATCGGATGCATTTTTGCTGAATTATTGACATCAGAGCCAGTATTCTTTTGTCGTGAAGAGGATATAAAAGCATCTAGCCCTTACCATCAGGATCAGTTGAATCGAATTTTTACCGTCATGGGATACCCATCAGAATCTGATTGGCAAGATTTAAAAAAAATGCCAGAATATCAAAAGCTTACTCAAGATTTCAAACGATCGAAGTTCTTTTTTCTTTTTTTTCTTCCTTTTCTTTTCTTTTCACTTAACGTTTTCTTTACGTTTTATTTTTTTGCATGCTGATTAAATTTCTTTGAGAAATTTTTGATTTTTCCTAAATTTTATAAAACAAATCTTATAGTTATGCGAATTGCACTTTGCAACGTTATATGGACAAGCATAAGATTAAAGCTGATACACGATCATTCTCCTTACTTCAGCGATTACTTACTATGGATCCAATAAAACGAGTTACTGCTCAAGATGCAATGGATGATCCATACTTCAAAGTTTATTTAAGATTATTTTAAATAATTTTTGAAGTTTCGAGTTTTTTTTTTCTTTATTTTTGAGTATTTTTTATGATTAGTTGACTGATTTGTTTTTTTCTTTGATTTTTACCAAATGATCTCTATCTCTTTTTTTGAGGAGGATCCAAGGCCAACTGCGGACGTGTTTAGTGGATGTGACATACCGTACCCAAAGCGTGAATTTTTATCTGATGAAAACGATGATAAAAGCTCATCAGCTTCTAAAACTCAAGCTGCTCCACCACCTCAACAGAGTCAGCAGGTGCACCTGGGAATATTTTAGGACTTATAATTTTTATGAATGTCACTGTTTAAAATAATCTTACAATTTTTATGAATGTCACTATTTAAAATAATTTGTTATATCTGCGAGAAATCTTTCAAAGCAATGATATTGCATGATTTTTTCCACAATATTTTTAAATTTATTTTTAAAATTTATTTTATTTTTATTTTTATTGTGGTTTCAGGCCATACCTGTCCATCCACAACAACAAATTATGGAACCTGCAGCAAAGAAAATGCGTCTACAAACAAATCAGATGCCTCCAACCCAGTCTCAGGTAGATTTTTTCCATTATTTTTTCCACCGAAATGTTAATTTCATCTTTACAGATGGAACCGATGATGAATGCAACAGGCCCTTTATATGGAACCAGTAATGCACAGGAATACCCAACGGTTGGTTCAGGTCCTGCAGTTGTTAATAAAGGACCTATGAATTTCGAACAATCGCAGATAGTGCAACCGCAACATATGAATTCAACTATACCACAAATACAATATGGGCAACATCAAATTATCAATCAAACGCCAACCATGTATCAGGTTTGTTCGTTTTATAAATATTGTTTGTTTGTATAGGTTATAGTTTCTTCTAAGTATCTTCTAAACGTTCTTCCAATTATATTTTAAAATTATATTTTAAAATATTTGTTCTTCCAATTATATTTCGAAAAAATATTTTATGATGAAATATTTATTTAAGTCTCCAATATTAAATCGCTTTTTGTTTTATAGCAGCAACCTCAAATGAGTATGCCGCAGCAACAGATGACCAATTCAGCGCAAGGTCAGATACAAGGTCGCCCTATGCAGATACCTGCGCAGTCATCGATGATGCCACCATCTTACCAACAACAATTAATGCAACCAGGTTATTTTTGAAAAGTTATATGAGGTATATAAAGCTATATAAAATGTTCCGAAGAAAATATTTAAATTATTAAGCATTAAACATCTTAAATTAAAGAATATTTTAAACGAGATTTACTTCTTGCAAAAAAGGAATATGAATCTCTATATATAGGAATAATGGGCAACCAACAAATGATGGCAGGACCAGCAAATACTGTGATGCCTCAGCAAAATGGTATGGGAGGTTCAGGACCTTTAGGTGGTCCTCAAGGTCAAATGACACATCAAGGCCCAATGATGCAACAGATGCGTCCGCAAGTGCAGTTTGTTGATCAAAATGGACGTGTCATTCCACAAAGTGGTTAATTTTCCTTGCCAAAAGTTTCAAAAATATAAAATTGTTTTAAAAAAGTAGTTAATTATTTTCAATATCTTTGGAAATTAGATGATGAAGCAAAATTTTCAGCGGGAATAATGGTTGGTCAGTCTACACAGGAAATTATATCTCAGCAAGGTCAATATATGATGCAACAACAGCAGTGGCCTCCGATGCAACCACGATATCAGTGATCTGTTGATCTCTTATAAATTTATGCAATTTTCACTGGTATTTTATTTTGCAGCAGATGTTGAGATGAAATGATGACTGTTCAGCTTATTCGTTATTAAGTTATTGAATATTAAATTATTAAATCCAAAAAAATTAGTAAAATGTTTAAAATATAGTTAATTATGTTTTGTTTTTGTTTTAAATATTATAATCATAGTCGTTGAGCGGTTGGTTCATTTATTTGCTCTCACCCAAATCGATTATTTCTAAGCTATTATTGTGAAGTTTTTTTTTCTCGAGATTTCCTTTTTAAATGGATCAGGTGTATGTGTATTAGTTGCTCCTCGTAATTCGAGAAACATCACACAGAACACGGTTGAGTTCAAAGTTAATAAGCAAATTTGAAATTGAAAGAATCAATGCGGAAATAGAAATATTGGCTGACAAACAAAAACCCATCAATCCAGTATCTCATCAACAAAACATGGAAACTATCTGGCAAGAAATCAGTCAAGAAGGAGAAGAGCTAGCAGAACAGCTGGATGACGAGATTGGCAAAGCTACGTTACTGATACAAAACGAACTTTCGGAATTTGCCGTATATTGGCGCATGATTATTGGTGGAACTAGTGTGCTCATTCTGTTAATAGTGCTAATTATTGTTAAATTAAATCGTCAATTGATTTTATTTCCTTTATGTCCAAAATTTAGTAGAAATTCAAATCAAGAAACCGTTGCTATCCCTATGAATTTATTAGGGGAAGACCTACACAACAAAAAGGAATTTAAAACTACCATTAAGAATGTTTTAAGTTATCAACCCAAATTCCTTCCTCTTACTAGTTTTCTCCCCCCTCGGGAATGTCGAGAATTTTCTCGAAACTATGAATCATTGCTTATAAGAATCAAAGGGTAATTTTTTTTTCCTTTTTGAACGTTGTGTAGGAGTGGGTTTTTTTTCTTCTTTTCTTTGCAATATAAACAGTTTTTTTTAAATTCACGTTTTACCTAAACTATTGTTCCCATTTTCAATAAAAATAAAAAATTATTATATTGTTGTGGTGTGATTGTGGTGTGACAGCCTTACAAACTCCGTTCAGTCTAAACGAAAAAGTCACAACATTTGATGGTTGGCATCAAAGTGAGGTGGGCCAATCAAGACGTGGACTGATAGGGTTAAGAATATTTTAAATATATGAATGGACAAACAATATATGGACGATGGAAAAAGGAATGGCTTCTATTACTGTCGACGATGGCATCAGACCGCGCCGCTTGGAAGCCTTACCCTTATAGCTGTTGCTGCCAGTCTAACCAGTAATGATGAGAGCTGTTAAAAGAAGAAGTTTTTATTTTAAATATCTGTTTTGTTTTTACGAGTAGAGAATTTTTAATTCGCTAAAGTTAAAAAAAGATAATTTAAAACATGAAAAAATAAAAGTAAAAAAGATTATTTGTCTGTACTAAGAATGCAAAACTTAGTCGCTTGAAGAAGGAAACATTTTGTAAGTTGCTATTCACAATGGGTTGTGCCCATTGTAGCTGTAAAAAAGGCAAATGGATCTGCAAAGATCTCTCTCAAAGGATTAAATAATGCTGTAGAACCACATAATCATCTTCCCTCTATTCTGGAAGACATATTTATAACAAATGGCGCAAATTTTCTCGCAAATTGACGTTATAGATGTTTGTAATCAAATTGAAATGGATTAAGAATGCAGAAAACTTTTGCCAATATATGCAAATAAAGGACCTTGCAGCTATAACCGGCTTCCATTCGTGCTAAAATCCGTTCCTGGAATTTTTCAACAAATTATGGACGAGATGATAGCACAAAATATAACAAAATATACCTTGTTGTGCACCTCGATGACATCATGATTATGGCGAAAAATGAAGAAGACCATTCAAAATCTAATTGCAGTTTTCAAAAAATTGGAATAATTTAGATTTCGTTAAGAAGTTATCTGCCTTTGACCACTCTTGTCTAAGGTACATATTATGGATTCGTCGAGCAGATAAGATATCACATGATCACATCTACCTTTGTTCAAATACCACTTACATAAATAATGTTATCACAGAGAGCGGCCTTCGCTGGTTAGGGCACGTTCTTCGTCGTCTACCACAGGAGTTGATGCATATTTCCTTACTTGATAAACCTTGTGATGATTGGCGTCAAAAGCGAGGTGGGCCAATCAAGACCTGGACTGATACGGTGAGAAAAGATTTTGAACGTATAGGTGGACCAGCAATATATGGAATTAGACGATGGAAAAAGGAATGGCTTCTATTACTGTCAAGGATGGCATCAGACCGCGCCGCTTGGAAGCATCTTATTCTTGTAGCCGTTGGAGCCAGCCTAACTAGTAATGGTGAGAACTGCTAGAAGAAATTTAGATTTCGGAAATTTTGGATTTTATATGAATAAAAAACTTTATTCATCGTAATTCTCCTAACAGTACGGAAAAAGTTATATGCTACACTTTAAGATCATTGACAGTAGCAGAAAGAAAATCAACTAGCGGCGAAATCTCCTAGAAAAGTTGAACTTGCATCATTGCCTGCTTCTACATAACAGTGGTCCAGAACTCATATAGACGCGGAGGGCAGCATGAATCAATGAGCTGCAACTCACGAGGAACAGCGAGAATTCAATGGAACATCATGCAGAATCGATCCAGACCTACGGAATTGCAGGTATCAATCCATGTGATATTTCTTTAAAGAATATCTTTTTTTCCCAGGGAGAAAGATATTATAGGGTATTATAGGACAAATATTCTATAGAGACCGGTGATTTCTTTCTCTCTTAGAAAAGGAGCAGTATCGGAGTTTATGTGATTGTAGATATCTATTATTGCCCATTGTCGATTGGTCTGTGTCATTTATACATGTTGTTATAAATAGGGAATTGGAGTTAACCTGCAATTATTGTTGGGGGGGGGGGGGAGGTTTAACCTGTAATTTTTGTGGGATGCTTTTACGCTATATTTGTGATCAAATAATATTCGGATATTAATAATAATATTGGGAAATAAAAAAATTTTTGTTGAACAGTCGTTTCAAAAAAATATTTTCGATTTATTTTTGTGAATTTATTTTTCATTTCTGATCACAATTCACCTAAGTCCTCTTAAACTTTTAATTTTTTTTACCAAATAACGATTAAAATTTAAATGAAATAAATTAAAGAAATCGATTAAATTAAATCAAATCAATTAAATTGTATAAATAATATATATATTTCATATATATATACATAGTCATATATATATTTTTCCAAATTTCATTGTCCATTTCATTATTTTCTTCAAATTTAATTTTTTTTTGTCTTTGGCAAGAGTAAACCTTGTCAAAAATCCGGGTGGCTGCTGGGGACCAACCTATAACTCTATCCCCAAGTGACTCCATGGTGAAAGAGTCAAGTACACTTCATACGGCGTCCGCGTCTCCCGATGCCGTATGATACTTCAAGACCGGTGGTACATGCGATAAGTATACAATTCGGGCTTAAAGCGATCCCAAGGCTGGCAAATAAAATGTGCTCTCAAGCCAGGATAATTGCTCGAAACCTATCAAGGGGAAGCCCTCTGCGCGGCCGTATCAGCATGGAACGCTAGAACGCTTATAGACGTTACAAACCAAGCAATCACTGTCCACATCCCTTCTAAATATCGTGTGGATATTGCTTGTCGGAGGTCCATCTTCCTCACTTTGGGTCTCGAGCAATCCTGGTTCAGAGCAGAGGAACTGGGTATATCACTATGGTGCTTCGAATAACTCGGGACGAAATGGGGTAGCGATTGTTATGTCTGACAAGGCCCATTCCGCTTATTGAGTGGAAACCGGTGAACGACCGTATGGCCTATACCCGTTTTAAGGGTAAGTTTTTAATATCTCGGTCAGTGTCTATGCTCCCACTCTGTCGGCAGATGACTGTGATAAAGATAAGTTCTATGCGGAACTTCAACTGCTAACAAAGTCTCTACCGAAACATGACATGATCATAATCGGGGGAGACTGGAATGCTCGCGTAGGTTAATGCAGCTGCGATGACCTCAACAATTGGCAAATATGGCATCGGAGATCGGTGTGCCAATGGGGAACGTCTTCTTCATTATGTCGAAGAACATGAATTTTTTGTTACTAATACTTGCTTCCGGCATCATAGAAAAATCTAGTCACGTGGAACTCCCGGACAACCAACACTTCAACCAGATTGATTATATCTTAGTCAATCGCCGTTGGAAGAGTTCCGTATACTAGATAGTCGTTCCTATCGCAGCACTGAAACGGAAATCTTCGGATTAGACCATGTTATGGTTCGAGCCAAGATCCGCATAAAATTGACAACTCGTAGAAAAAAGCATCCCCCAAGTTTCTTCAACTATTTCAAACTAAAAAATTTGGGGACAGTGAGCGCATTTCAAACTGAATTATTGAAACAACTCAGTGGTACAAATGTCAATGATTTTTCTGGAACGGCAAATGAATACTGGTCTAAACTGAAATGAACTATCTCCAAAAATCAGCCACTTCCACGCTAGGGCATACTAGTAAGAAGTGCGCTAATTGGGTATCGGAAGCAACTGTCCAATTGTCTAAAAAAGTTCCCAAGGCACGAAGGTCATATGACCTTGACTACCGGGTGCTTCGAAGATTTGCATCGAAAGCAGCAAGGCGGGATAGAAATCTTTATTCGAGTGATATGTCCTCAAGAATGGAGGCGGCGGCTCGATTAGGCGACAATAGAAAACTATTCCGCCTTCTTCATAAAGCAACTATGACTCGGGCAACGATTAGTGAAATGGTAAGAGACAGCAATAGCATACTAATTAAAAGTATTAAAGATCGCCTCATAAGATGAAAAATTCTTTGAGGCCAAACTTAACCATGAAGCGCCAACTGTTGCCTCTGATATAACTGATACATTTGCCGAAGTATACGTTCGCAATTGCGAGCCTCCAACAGAAGAAGAAATAATTTCAGTTATCCATAAGCTTAAGGCCAACAAAACTCCAGGAGATGGTCTTCGGGCTGAGCTTTTCAAATGCTGTTCATCGTCCTTCATAACATACCTTCAACAAATGTACTCTTTAGTCTGGAAAAAAGAAATATTACCAGATGATTGGAGCAAAGCAATTCTGCTCCCAATTCTCAAGAAAGGTAGTAGGACATGCTGCGACAATTATCGAGGAATCAGCCTATTAGACGTCTCAGCAAAAATTTTTGCTTCCCTGCTACTCAACAGATTTATGGAAGTACGAGACAGCAGGATGCGCCCTAATCAAGCTGATTTCAGATCAGGACGCGGTGCTGACCAGATATTCACGTTAAGAAGGGTGTTAGGGCATCGCTTCAAACATTTGCAACCCACTTTCATCGACTTTGCGGCTGCCTTTGATTTAATTGATAGAACGGCGTTTTTGAGGGTGATGGAACGTGACGGTGTTCCAGAGAAAATCATTAGACTCATAATGACATTTTATGAGCGCACGTCGGCGCAGGTCTGTGTGTATGGGAAGCTGACAGATTCCTTCGAAATAAGAACAGGTGTCCGTCAGGGCTGCGTCCTTTCTCTCACAATATTCAACTATGCGATAGACTGGATAATGGACATTGCTTGTCGGCACTCAAGAGGTGTCCGAATCAGTCCAAAGCATTGTATCACAGATCTTGAATACGCTGATGATGTAGTCCTTTTTGCTGACAGTTATAAAAAATGCAAGTAATACTAAATAACGTTTCAGAAACTGCAGGAAGAATCGGACTCAGGATCAATGTAAATAAAACGAAAGTCTTTTCGTCTTATGCGCAAGAAGCTGATATAATGCCTCTTTTTGTAAATTCATTGCCGGTTGAGGAAATGCATGATTTCAAATACCTTGAGTCCACTCTAATGCCAAATGGACAGGCAAAAGATATTATAACTCGGATCGCGGCAGCTAGAAATGCGTTCTTCCGGTTGACGAAAGTCCCCATCTATATTGCCGTGATCCGTTCCATCTTACTATGTGGTTCTGAGACATGGCCAATGAGAATGGAGGATATTAAGAAGTTATCTGCCTTTGACCACTCTTGTTTCAGGTACATTTTACGGGTCCATCGAGCGGATAAAATATCATATAATCACATCCATCTTCGTTCATATACCACTTGCATTAATAATGTTATCGCCTTCGCTGATTAGGGCAAGTCCTCCATCGTCCATCACAGGAGTTGACGCATATTTCGTTACTTGCTAAACCATGTGATGATTGGCGTCAAAAGCGAGGTGGACCAATCAAGACGTGGACTGATAGTATAAATGGACAAGCAATATATGGAAAAAGGGATGGCTTCTATTACTGTCGACAGTGGCATCAGACCGAGCCGCTTGGAAGCGTTTTACCCTTGTAGCCGTTGGAGCCAGCCTAACCAGTAATGGTGAAAGCTGTTAGAAGAAGAAGAAGAGACCACGCAAACATCTTGTTCTTTATTTTATCTATATCTGCGGTGTCAGACATTCAAAAACTGTTGTAAATTTCTTTAGATAGTAATGTGGGTCATGTCCGGATTTATTTTTCATTTGCTGTCCATTTTTTCATGTTTTAATCCTCTGTTGGATGTCTTCTCTTATAGTGCTAACTGGTTCCTCCTCTGAAAATTTATGTGGCTTGTTCTCAGGTATATCTATATAGCTATTTCTGCATTTTATTCTCCTATATTGACAACGATATTTTCAACTGTAGGGCATTCATTGTTAATAAGAATGTAAATTCATTTAAATTCGCTAATCTGAAATAATCTGTGGATCTTTAATTAATTAATTATTTACTGATTAACAACTGAATCATATTTGTTCTGAGTAAGTGGCAAATGAGTGAAATCAGTGAACTTATGGTGTAGAAATAAAATGTATAATGTATATGATTATAAGATTGCTGGGATTTAATTACTTGGGCTATAAATAAAATTTGTGCCCTTTAAAGTTTCAGATATTTCACATATGGTCACATGTTTCCTCTGACTTGTGTGGCCGCCGGATCCGGAAGCTCGCAATTTTTTCCTTTTTTTTCCTTTATTTTCTTATGTCTTTATATTTCCTTTATATTTATCATCCTTTCGTTATATTTTTCCACCATTGATTTTATTAGCATTTGTCTAGTGTTTCTGATTTTCTTTCGCCATTTTTTTGCAGTAGCCATTTTTTACTGTATAATATCTTCCATCTGTATTTTCTTCGGATTAGTGCTATTTGCTCACCAATTCAATGCTCTACATTAGTAGAAAATGCATATTTTTTTTCAGGGTTTTATTCATATCCTTTAATTAATATTATCTCCTTTAATTCATTTTCTTCTTATTGTTCTAATGGTGAATGATTTATTGGAAAAAAATAATGAAATTGATCGAGAAAGTGCGAAAGTTAAAGGTATTTCATTCACATATTGTTATCATTTATAGTATTTTATGAGTTAAATCTTTCTCTTTTTTATTTGAAATTTGATTTTTTAGCTGAAAACGATTCTCTCGATGGATCAGTTGAGTGTCTTCCGGCAAAAAATCTTGTTAAAAAATCAAGACAGTTCGTTTTTGACGAAATTTTCGCTGAAACATTGCAAAAAGCTTCTGAGCGATTCGAGGAAAAAAAGGTGAACATATAGAACGTGACTGAGGGAAAAATTTTTAGAAAATTAATGAAAGTCACCAACTTCCCTGCATTCTAATCAATCAGGTCGTTATGCAAAAAAGTTTTTTTCTTGAGTCGATCTTCAAATGAATTGAGAAAAATCCTTTCAGGACCATATTAATGAAACTCAATCTCAATACGCATCGTTAATTACTACTTCTGATGATGATGGAGGTGAATTTCTTTATGATTATGATTATTTTGGAACTTTTGCTTTAAATAATTCCATTTAATATGATTTTCCTAATCCTTATAATTAATATTAATAATTTAGATAATCAGTTTATTGTGCCCTTACCTGAAGGTTTCGAAAAAGATATGTCCGAAATATCTGAAAAATTAGAGGTTGTGGAAAAGGACGATGAATACGAAGATTTTGGTGATGGGGTAGGTTTTTCTGGTTTCATAAAAAAGAAAAATGTAATCTATTAACTTTTGATCTCCCTCAAAATTTCATTGGAAATCCTCATATTTCGGTGATTTTTTTCAGATTCCCATCGTTGATTTAATACCAGCTGCATCTGAAGCGATTATGAAGCATGGTCATAAGCCAGTAAGTTATTTCTAGGTCATTCTTTCGTTTATTATGATTATTTATTTTTATCCCAGTATTTCTGATTTTTAATTATTTTTTGTCTTTAATTATTGTCTTTTAATTCTTATTGTTTTATTTAATAATACTAAATAATATCAAACTGGTTTTTGGCTACATTTTGAGCGTTTATGTTCATTTTGAAAATTGATTTTAGGTTTCGGCTCTGGCATTTGATCATCAGGGGACTCGTTTTGCAAGTGGTGGTTTTGATTATATTGTTAATTTGTTCGAATTTCAAAAAATGGATCTTTCTCTTCGTTCATCTCGTGAATTATCGCCTTGTGAATGGTGAATTGTTGATTTGACCATTGTATATTTTTGATTTACTTATATATAATTTTTTTAGCCATGTCATCAATTGCTTAGCGTTTAGTCCGAACGGAGAATATTTATTAGTAGGGAGTGGGCATGCTCAGATACGAATTCTTGATAGGCAAGGAAAGCAATGGGCAGAAACAGTCCGAGGTTTTTTCGATATTTTTCTTTAATAGCCTTAATTTAAAAGTTGTATTTTTGGTTCTATATTTTAAAATATTTGAATTTTTCAATTCATTAAAAATCATTATTCATTAAAAATTACTCATAAAATATTTAAATTTTTTAAATGGTAAAATTTTTAAATTCCATGGTCAACATTTTTCAAGTCCATTTTCTTTTAATTATTTTTTTTCAGGTGATCAATACTTGGTGGATTTATCTAATACAAAAGGTCATACAGGTTCAGTCAATGCTTGTTGCTGGCATCCCTTGATAAAAAACGAGTTTTTGAGCTGTGCAGATGATGGGTATATTATTGTATTCCTAGCTGCATCCAATTATATTTCTGTAAAATTGTTTATGGCTTATGTTGCACAATCATTATTTAACGTTTCTGCGTTATTTGCCATAATTTCTTTTTTACTTTTTTACAGATCCTTTTTACTTCTCCCTCAAAATTTCATTGGAAATCCTCATATTTCGGTGATTTTTTTCAGATTCCCATCGTTGATTTAATACCAGCTGCATCTAAATATCCATATATATATATACTTATTATAGATTTATTTAGATTTATATAGATATAGATATAGATTTATTTAGATATATAGATTTCTCTTATATAGATTTATTTTACTTATGATTTTTTAATGTTTTTTTATCATTATAGCTTTTATTTTTTTTTCGATTTCTTAGCACTCTTCGAATATGGTCGCTGGAAGATTTCAAAGAAATAACTCGCTGCATCAACAAACAACGTAAGGTTATAAAAACAAAAACAGCCGGTGGCAAACGAGCCATTCCAACGACATGTGTTTATTCTCGAGATGGTAAACTTATAGCAGCTGGTTGTAATGATGGTTCAATACAAATATGGAAACATGGATCATTTTACGTAAATCGGCTTAAATTTTTTTGGATTCTACTTTTTCAGTAAATGCATTAATTTAATGGTGATAGGAAAATATTTTTAGGTAAACACATCATATCTCAATCGAAAAGCACATTGTGCATCGGTTACTTGCTTACAGTTTTCTCCCAGTGGTGAACATATTTTGTCCCGTTCACGTTAGCCGATTTTTTTACAGTTTTACAGTTTTTATAGTTACTTTTTCAGCACAGATCTTCAACTAATTTTCAAGACATTTTTTGGTTAATAATTACTTGCAGTTGATGGTACGTTGAAAATGTGGCAATTAAATAATTTCAAAGAACCAGTTCAGGAAGTGAAAGATTTACCAAATGATTTTATAAGGTGGATTTTTCGTTCCAGCTATATCTTGTAAAACATTTATTTTGCTTTGATGTCAGCCTAAAATGGAGTCAGAAGAAACTTTTTTTTGAATCTGAGAAAAAATGTATTGTTTGTTTTGTTTTAAGTACTGACTGTGGTTTTTCACCTCATGCAGAAATTGTTTTCACGGGCACATCATATATTGAAGAATATAATGTTGATGGATGTCTGTTATTTTTCGATTCATCGAATTTCGAACTTGTTTATCGTATCGAATTCCCTAAAACAGTGAGTGTGTTTGCTTCTTTTCTATTATTTTTTATATTCTGCTTTAATCCTTTAATTGTTGTTATATTATTATTTATTATTGTTATTGATTATTATTGTTATTGTTATATTTTTATTTTACTTTTATTATTATTACCTATTATTATTCTCTGCTTACCATTTTCATTTATTTTTTATATTTAGAAAAAAATTTCGAAAAATTTAAAATACTGTTAATTATCGATGTATTTTTGAATCCTAAAACAATAGCGAATTGTACGCATGTATTATAGAGTTGTACGAAAGTTTTATGGCATCCAAAACTGAATCAGATCTTGATTGGTTTGAGCGATGGCTCACTTCGGCTTTTTTATGATTTGCGGAGTAGCGTTCGTGGTGCTGTTGAATGTGTATCGAGGCCGCTCAAGAGAGCGCGGCAACAAGAAGTTGTCAAAGAAGAAATGATTCTTTCACGTATTTTTTTAAAAATTTCTTACAATATTCATTAATATTCTAAATTATTGATAAAATTGATAATTATTGATAATGAAAAATGATATTTGCGAATTAGTTCGTTAAAATTATTTGTTCCAGCTCTTACATTAGAAATGTTTCAACCTCGTGGTGAGGAAGGTGAAGAAAAAGAAGTGACCGCTTGGCGACTGAAGAAATATCTTCGAATGCAAGATAATCGACTGCGCCCAGAATTTCGAAAGCCTGCAGATATGCCAATGAGTGGCCCTAGTATGACTTCTTCATTTATTATTTTTATAAAAAATATAGCATATGTGGTTAGATTATTTATAAGTTATTTAGTTAAATTAGATCTTGATATCTTGATTATATTTTGATTTGATTTGGTAAAATTATTTGAACCATTTCAAATTTTGATAAATTTTAACTAAATTTTAATGTCCAGATACTCTTCGATATCTATTTTATTAAGGTTCTGGTGGTCGAGTGGCTAGTTCAGGTGGTACGTTGCATTCTTACATAGCCAAACAGGTTGGCACAAAAAGGAATCAAGATTTTCTCGCTGATAATGATGTACGAGCGTCTATATTACGTCATGCGGAAGAAGTAAATATATATATGTATATATATATTTTTAAATCTGACCATTATTTTATGAGTCCTGTTCTTTTTTTCAGGCTGAAAAGAATCCTTATTATGTTACGAAAGCATATCTGAAAAATCAGCCAGTTACTATATTTCAAGAAAAGACTACGGCACCTGAGGAAGAAGATGATACTGAAGCTGATTTAGAACCAGTTTATAAAAGACCGAAAAAGCAATAAAAAAGATGTTTAATGTTTTATAAAAAAGTTTTGTTGATGGCTCTAAATTTGTTCACCATAAAATAAATAACTATTGAAAATGGAAATTTATTGAAAATTGTGGCCAAAAAAGATATTTTATATTTACGTTTTAATCTAATTGGTATATATTTTCTTCGATTGATTAATTAGGCTTTAAAAAAAGCTGTCAAAAATTTTTTAAATGTGACTATGTGACTATGTTCTTTTATCTATCTGTGTAGACGTAATTATACTAAATAAAATCATAAATAGCAAGATATCTTCCTTAGTCAGTGATGCCTTCTGCCACCAAACGAGAATTGGTCGAGTCAATTTGTTCCAGCTCTTACATTAGAAATGTTTCAACCTTGTGGTGTATTTCAGTGGTTTGTAATATTTCTTTTTTCTTTCTTTTTTCTTTTTTATTTCTTTTAATTCTTTTTTATTATTAATTGTTCTGCGTTTGGAAACGTTGTTTGGCTAATTGTGTGTTTATTTAAATTATGTAATTTTTTCTAATTTTTTTCATTTTTTTTTTCATTTTTTGTTATGCATTTATATCATTTAGTGATTTGGTAATTATTTTGTGATTTTTTCTGATGATCAGGAAAAAAAGAAAGAAATTTGGTAGAATTTAAGTTGGAATACGTTGATCAAGCTTTTTATTAAGCGAAATCAGCATTCGCAAAGAAATGCGTCGAGTACAGTGTGGTATTTCATTTTGGCCTAAAATTTCATTAAATGACCAGAGATTTCTCGAAAAACATTTAAACGATTTTAAGTAAGGGTGTCTAGTGAAGTGATATAGTTAATAAGATTGCTGAATTTCATGTGATAATTCTAATGTTTTTTTAAAATAATTTTCAGCACATTTGGTGCTATTTTAGGGTTTTTTTAACTTCTCAAAACATTCTTTGAAAGAATGTTTCTCTATAAAAGAGGAGTGGTGGGGGGAGGGGGAGGGGGGGGGAGAGATCCTTATGTCGATTGGTGGTCGATTCGTACGTTGCTTAGAGAGTTAGCACTATGGTTTTAATTTCTGTGTATTGGAAATCTGAATAAACCTATCATCAAAAGAAATTGAAGTGGAGAATATTAGTTGAACAAGGTGAGTCTGAATTCAAACTTTTATTTCGCAGTGAATTGCCACATTAAGTTAAACTGGAAAAAGTTGAGTTCCAGAGCTGAGATAACGTGATTCCTCTAAGTTTCTGATTATTCCTGACTTTCCAACATGAAGAATTATTTGCTCGCAAAGAAATATGCTTTTTAACTTGTCATCGGAGTCCGGTGCATCAGTGGGGAACATCTTTTTCGATTGCCGGAGAGCATGAATTTTTTTTTAGTAGTACTTTCATCCGGTGTCGTAAAAAACATCTAATCACCCCGATAACCAACACTTCAACCATATCGATTATAGTCTGTCGCAGTTGGAAGAGTTCCGTGCTAAATAGTCGTTCCTATCGCGGTGCTGAAGCGGACCATGTTATGGTCCAAGCCAAGATCCGCGTAAAATTGACAACTCGCAAGAAGTAACATCTCCCAAGATCTTTTAACCATCTCCAACTAAAAAATTGAAGGAGCGCATTTCAAAATTAAATTATTGAAGCACTCAGTGGTATAAATATTAATGACTTTTCTGGAATGGCAAGCGAATACTGGTCGGAAATAAAGGAATGTTCCGAAATTCAGTCGCTTCCATACTAGTAGGAAGTGCGCTAGTTGGGTGTCAGAAACAATTGTCGAACTTATACCGAATGCTTCGAAGAATGCCACGACACCAACGACATGGAGGGACAGAAATCATTATTGCGGCGATATGACTTTGAAAATGGAGAGGACTGCTTGATTAGTCGATAATAAGAAATCATTCCGCCTTCATAAAGCAACTATAACTCGGGAACTATCAGAAAAGCGGTAAAGGGTAACAGTAGTGTCCTGTGAAGAATATGAAAGACCGCCTCATAAGATGGAAGGAATTCTTGAGGTCAAATTTAACCATAATGTGCCGTTGTTGCCCCGAATATAGCCGTTCGTCGAACCATATGTTTGTAACTATGAGCCGCAAGACCCAGAAGAAATAATCCCCATTATCTACAAGCTTAAGGCCAATAAAACTCTGAGAAAAGATGGTCTCAGGGAATTCTTCAAATGCTATCCCATCTTTCTTCATAACGTTTCTTCAACAAATCTACGAAATACTACCAGATAATTTAAGCAAAGCAATTTTACTCTTAGGAAAGGTGACAGGACATACTGCAACAATTATCGAGGAATTAGTCCTACTAGTCGTTTCAGCAAAAATTTTCGCTTCTCTATTATTAAACAGATGCAGCACTAGAGAGCAAGAGGGGCCCCTAACAATCTGGATTCAAACTGGGATACAGTTGTGCTGACCAACTATTCACGCTTAAGATCTTGGAACATCACTTCAAATATCGTCAATCATCACATGTTTCATCGACGCATTTTATCAACGTGCGTCGGCGCAGGTCTGAATAGAACATATTTTATTTTCCTATCGACGAAACCTTTATGTGGCCGTTGCAAGATCACCATAAAAGATAAAGACCGCATATATATAGCCGCGATTCGTTCGACCTTGCTATGTGGCTGCAGGATATGGTCAATGAGAGTTGAAGTTATTAAGAAGTTATTTGTCTTTGGCCTCATGTTTAAGATATATTTTACGGGTTCGCTGAGTGGATAAAATCTCACATGACAACATCCATCTTCGTTTAACTACCACTTGCATTAACAATACCATCAGAGCATTGCATTCGCTGGTTAAAGTACATTGTCACCGCAAAAGTATCGACACTTAATTACTGATAGTACTAGTTAAACCATATAATAGGTGATATCAAAAGCGAGATGGGACAATCAATACCTGGAGTGATACGGTAAGAAAAGATTTTGAACTTGCAGGGACCAGCAATATATGGACTTAGACGATGGAAAAAGGAATGGCTTCTATTACTGTCGGTTATGGCATCAGATCGCGAAACTTGGAAACGTCGTATCTTTATAGCCAGTAATATTAGAAGAGGAAGAGTAGAAACAAAAATTCCAGAGGCCTAATCGCGACTAACATTGGTCGTCACTCTTCATGCCGTTTCTTTTATCATCTGATAAAATACAGAACGCCACTTCCCGGTGGATACTTGCTATTAAGACAAGCAGCAAGCAACCAGTGGAGCACCAATCAAGACATGGAGAATATCTACTTATTGTGGACCTTAACATTAAATGAGCATTTCTTTGTATTTTTAATTTTAATGTCGCAAATGAGAAATTCGTTCTTTTCAGTGTAATAATGGACATTAGCAAGAAAGTTTAACTAATAATAACACGTGGTTTAAATATTTTCGGCATTTCTTTGAAGGTCATATCTTCTTCTTCTTCTTTTAACAGCTCTCACCATTACTGGTAAGGCTGGCTCCAA